ACTCATTATCCTAACGGATAATATAAATGCGAATGTGGGTTTGTTTGTTTGTCGGCTTTTCCTACCTTAACTACTCAAACAATCATCATGAAATATTGTAGACACATTGTCAGAAGTACAGAAAACTACGTAGGGTACCTTTTATCCAGAAAAAAGTACTGTTCCCGAGGGATAAAAGAATTAGTTACGCCTCACGCCTTAACTACTCCATCGACCATCATGAAATTTTGTTGCCAGGGGTACAGAAAAGCACATAGGGTACTTTTTATGTAGAAAAAATATTGTGACTGAGGATTAAGAAAAATAATCTTGTGGTCGATTTCACGCCTTAACTACTTAATCGACCGTCATAAAATTTTGTACACATTGTTAGAGACACAGAATAAAATATTGTAGACACATTTTCAGGGGCACAGAAAATGACATAGGGTACTTTTTATTCAGAAGAAAAACTGTTCCCGAGGGAAAGAAAAAAATTAGTTTTATGTGGTTTATATCACGCCTTAACTTATTTTCATGAAATTTTAAAGACATACTGTCAGGGGTACAAAAATGGTCATAGGGTACCTTTTATCCAGAAGAAAAAATGTTGTTCCCGAGGGATAGAAAAATTAGGTTTTTTTATGTGGTCATCGAATATCTTTGACACATATTTAGATCAACGCGAGCGAACCCGAGGGTACAATCTAGTTCTACTATAAATCAACACTTATTTAACAAAACATAGCCTTGATTTCAGTTACTTTTGTTGAAAAGCCGACGTTTTCTCTCGGTAATGGCCTTCGGTAAAAATTATTATCATGTTTTTCTGTAACACTTAGTAAAATCAAAGTCAAGTGTTATTAAACAAGTATTGATTTATCTCCTTACACAATGAGTTTGCAAATCAATCTTCAGAACTTATTCCCTTACCAAATTACAAAATTAATTGACAGTTTGAAATATTTTGGAATAATTAATTTTTAAATGTAATTAGAATCATGAAGATATAATTACATTTATGTTATTAGTAACAATTGCCATTATTATTTTTATTTATTTGAATGATTGATGTTGTTGATTCAAGAGTCAACAATACAAAACTTGTTATCAGCATTCGTATATGAAATTTCCTTTTAATAAGATTGTAGACAGGTAGGTGCCTACTCTTTATCTAACGAATTTATGAATTGCTCGAATAAAGTGGGAATTATGCAAAAAATTTCAAACTGAATTTTTAAAGAAATTTAATTTATTACTAAAAATTTTCCGTTGCAAAATTTTCACTTAAATACTTATAAGTAATCATTTTAGTTAAAAGGTTTGTTTTTATTTGATTTTATCGTTCCATTATCTCATGTGAAATGATTCGTGGACCCTATTTTCTACAATTTAGTACACATTATGTACATATTTTAACGTTTTAGATGTCATAATCATCATAATCTAGTTGGACACGCACCTCCACTCTTTCCTATTCTGAGCTAATCTTTGCATTTCCCTAAAACCAGAAAAAAAAACTTTTGGGTGTTTCATTCCCACCAGCCAGTAATGCTGGTGGGCGGGCAGTCCCTCCGGACTATGCCGGAAGGTAGGGCGGAAGGCCCTCTTCAGCCTGCTTTCAGGAATCGTGGGAATGCGTGGGTGGTGGTTCGGGTGAAAAAGTTGAGACGGACCAAATGAAGACAGAAGAGAATGAAAGATTATCTGTGGTATATTACTGCCCCAGCATTTGCCTAAGTGATCCAAGGAAAACACAGAAAAACTTGGACCAAGGCAGACGGACCCGGAATCGAACCAGCGTCCTCTCCAATGCTAAGCAATGGTCTAGACCTCTAGGCCATGCCGCTCGGTCCTAAAACCAGAACAACCCATATCCTTAACTATTTGCGAACAGTAATCTAACCTAGGTCTACCTCTACTCATTTTAACTCCTGTTTCTATCTCTAATATGTCTTTGACTAGACCTTCATGCCTGAGAAGGTGTCCTACCAACATACAGGTCTGACGAAGGAAGCTGGCGAGCGGTCGCGCAGGTACTTGCCCATTTCTGACCTATTTGGGTAAGTCACTTGGAACCGATACACAAATAAGCTTTCAGTAGGCGTAAATTGTAGTATTAATACAAATGGGACAGTAGCGTACTAGAAAATAATGTAAAAACGACTTATAAAAAAAGAAAAAATTAACCTATTGCTTTTGTTTTATAGTTAGTTTTCACATTCACTGTCATCATCGGAATCTCTATCACTGTCACCAACATCAACAATTAGTTCTTCTGTTTGTATGTCCATTACTTACTCATTGATCCCTGCTTTTAAATATTTAATCTACGCCCCTGATAGAATTACTGAAGAATGAGGGCTGCAATCTTTATACCTAAAACTGCCTACTTTTGCCACCGTGCATCCACGCCATTTTAAAATTTCCGCCAGCTTCCAGCCTTTCTGTTCTACTATTTTTAATACTTCCTCATTTCTAACATTCTTATATTATTTTAATAACCAACAAATGTCGCACTTCTGGTAAACCAGGAAATACTTCAGTTTCGTAAATAAATAGATTTCTTTGAGTTACAGACTTTACACACTAATATTGACTGATTAAGATTAAACACTTTGTATATACATATCTATAGATATTCTTATGCTTCTAATAATGAAAAAAATAAAAAACTAATTAATGTAAAGTTTAAGTTTAAAACAAGAAAAAGGTACATAACGTTACCTATACCTATGTGTTGGATAATTATGTGCAAAAAATTGATGACCTTGATTATAAATGTATTTTAGTGGTTCCTTAATTATTGCTTAATAAAAGTTGCGGTTTTATATTACTCGTTTCTAATGTAAATAGTGGTTTTCCATCCTTTAACTCATTCGATAAGTATTGACTACAAATACTACACTTTATCATTTTTATTTCAGAATTAGTTAGGTGGTATACAACAATAGAATTTTTTTTCATGTTAACTTACACGATTTATAATTTACGATTGAGAATGGCCTTTACGTCATGTATTGAAATGAAAAATAATTATTCAATTTTACATAAGTACATGCTCAATTGGAATTTGATAGCAATACCGTTTTTTATTAATTGCAATTATTGCAGTTGTAATCATTCTAAATAAAAATAGACATTATTACCATCAAATCTCCATATTTTATAATACCAACCCACTGTCGTCAACTTTATCTATTAGATTCATTCAATTTTAGTCATAAATATTTTCTGAAATTAAATGTTAATATAAAATAAACTTAAAATCCTCTACCTGGTGTTTAAAGTCATTGTTACATGTGAAATGAAATTAAAGCAGAGGAAAAGGTTACTACTTTTCTTTTATGGAAAATTAATTAGCCTAGGCGAACTCGGCGCAAGAGTGGTGAAAACTATTGAGACAGTTTTTTATCAGAATTCTTTAAAAATTTGTCAAATATTATATAAAAGCAGTTTGACATGGGGCAATGTCGTTTTGCATAAGAAATTAAGGACAAATAAAAAGGACTAAATGATTGCAATAAAATGCTCTTTATTTTCATTTGCATTGCCTTTTTTTAACCTGTCTTTTTATAGACAATAGAAAAGGTACACAGTCAATAAGTTTAATAATATTTAATAATATTAGGCACACTTTTGTTATATAAACTGTAGAAAATTTATTGGATTCTTAAAAGGTTTTCGTAAATATAACAGTTAGTTCAGCAAATGTAATATGATAAATAAGAGAGACATCAATACATTAAATTGTAAAGTTCCTACCCTTAAACATTATTCGCTATTACTTACGCTGCTGGCGAAGGCGCTTTATAAATAATTAAAAAAAGAGTCCTTATTGATGAAAATTTTTATATACTACGAAGTTTGTAAGCTACATTGTAAAGACAAAGACAAAAAAATTGATTAATATCATAACAGTTATATTAGGATTTATAAGCCGTTTTAAAATTCGCCAAAATCGTGATTCTTCAAATATATCTGTTTCATGTTAAATATTAACTTTATCTAAACAATTTATAATGTATTTTTTNTATATCATTATAAAAGTAAAGTATATTAAAAAAATTAGTTCCGTTTAGAAATTGTAGTAATCGAAGATTATTTATACAGGTCCGTATTAAATTAAATGAGACTACACAGTCCCATATACAATTGCATTTATATGAGATATAAATTAAACTTTTATTTTTAAATGATTCCGTGTGATGAAATATTGCGACACTCATGCGCCGATTCCTCCTATACTAATTCGTTTGCTATGTATTTTAAATTACCTTTTTTAAAATGTTCTTAAATTTTTTCTCTCAAAAGCTGATTTTGCATTTGCATTTTCATCACTTTACACCGTTTTCTGACTAGTATAACGACTTTAAAGTTTATTTGGTTTTAGTTCGATTATTTACGCTCGGCTAAATATATTTTATTTATTTATAACTCACAAAAATACGCGCTCTTTTTAAATCTACTGCACTACTGAAAATTAAAACAGGTTGTAGGTACCTCAGTTATGCTGTAACCATTTATCAATAGAGCCAATCCATGATAAACCGCTTCGCTAACCAGCTGTTGCAATTTTTTGCACAACCCACAACTCTACAGTCCATGTCACGACACGGATTCGTTTTGAATTTCACTGCCACCCACCTTGTCGCGATTTGTTCTATTATTATTTCCCTCTATCCAAATGCAATTGAATTTCAATCGATCGATTGATCCTTTTTAGCAGATAATAATTCTATTTTAAATGCATCGATTCGTATTTGACCTGATAGATAGGAATATATAATACCGTTGCATCGTAATCCGCGTTCCGCCCTTGTGGTTACAACGAGAACATTTGCTAACACAATGGAACTATAAACACGAAGAGGACGCATGCGAACTGGCGTCGAAACGCTTGCGTCCCGACGTCGCTCCTATCGTTATCGATTTAGTCGACGGCGGCGTGCGGGCACTTGAAAGTTTTAAATTTTCTTTTTAACGGTCACTAAAGTTATGTTAATTCCAATGTATCGTTCCGCTTTCGCTGGGATCATTATAAAGCGAGTAGTTTCGTTTGGAAATTAAACGACGATATACTGTAAACTGTATACAGGGTGATGCATTTGTAAATACCTATTTTGATACAACATCATCATTCGCACGTCAGTCCTAAGACTGGTTGGATACACCTCCATCACTAACTCCCATCTTGAGTTAACATTCGCATTTCCCTAAAACTAAAACATTCCACGTCCTTAACCATTTGTGGACAGTAATCTAATCTAAGTCTGCCTCTACTCCTTTCAACTCCTATTTCTGCCTTTAATAAGTCTCTGACTAGCCTTTTTAGAAAATACCACAAATGGCGCGGTAAACGCCATCTCTAGTACGATGCTACATTTTAGGATTACGTATGCTCCAACAAGGTCCATTTAAATATATGGATATGTACTTGCTGAAACGAATCCCGGCGTAATTAACCTCAACGTGATAGGCACGTTACCATAATCCAATAAAATAATTCGAAGTGGTCTGTATTCTGTCAAAACTGCTAGACGCGGATCGCGTTTTCGATTTTTTTGGAACGCAGGTAGCACCGACAGAACACAGACCAACTTTTAGCTGCTGTCTTAACAACGCGTTTTAGAAAATACCACAAATGGCGCGGTAAACGCCATCTATAGTACGATGCTACATTTTAGGATTACGTTACGATTACGAAATCGCGATCCGCGTCTGGCAGTTTCGGCAGAATACAGACCACTTCGAATTATTTTATTCTCTGACTAGCCCTTCATGTCTGAGAAGGTGTCTTATCAACTTATATCGCTTTCGTCTTAGTGAATTCCATAGATTATCCTGTATTTCTACTATTTTTTTTTACCTCCTCATTTCTGGCACCCATGTATATAATTAGGATTGCATTTTTGATATTTGCAGTCGGAAACGCAGTGCAGTTACTTCGACCCGCTCTTCTTACTATTTAAAATCGGCGCGTACATGCCATCCTTTTCCTTCTGAATGCATTGTCTGTTTATTTTCGCGCACGTTTGTTAATAAAGGTCAGAGTTTTTTTTAATCTTACCGGAATGCACAAAAAAATAGGTAAGTTAAAGTAGAAGTTTGACGGCTTAAAAACATAATTCGCAAGTTTCAGTATTTTGAAATATATGTTGTGATCATTTTCATCATCGTCGTCGTCAGTCCTAAGACTGGTTGGAAACGCACCTCCATTCTTTCCTATCCTGAGCTAATATGTCTCTGACTAGACTTTCATGCCTGAAAAGATGTCCTATCAATCTGTCTCGCCTATTTTTTATTGATTTCCATAGAATTCTCTCTTTTCTTATTCTTTCTAATATCTCTTCATTTCTCTTCATCATTCGCTGATAACACCACATTTCGAACGCTTCTAACCTTCTCTTTTCTACCGTGCCCATATTTCGCACTCGTACAACGCCGCGCTCCAAACATTCACCTTGAACAACAATTTTTCGAATTTCTGAATTAACCATTCCCGAGCATAGAAGTGACTTCTACTTGAAGGCGACTCGACCCTGCGCTATCCTCTGCTTTATATCTCTAGAACTCCTTCCGTTCTGACTTATCTGACTTCCCATATATCTAAAATCAGCCACTTCTTCTAATCTTTCGTCTCCTATCCTTACATTCACTCTTTCACTACCTTTTCTTCCCTTGCATACCAGCATTTTTGTTTTACTTTTATTTATTTTCATACAGTACTGTTTTGTCAGTACCGCCTCCATTTTATTTAAAGCTATCTCTAACTCCTCTTTTCTAGATGCTAATACTGCTATATCATCTGAAAATCTAAGCATACTAATCTTTTGTAGAATTTATAATAAATGTTTTTTATAGATCACACATATGACGATAATCGGAAAAGAATCCCGGGAAAAAAAGTTCCAGGGACAAAAATCCCCTGGAAAAGAATTCCCCCTCGGAAAAAATGAATATCTTTGATTTATTATAAGGTAAATGGTAATTTTTATTAGGAATGTTACGTAGTTCTGTTATCAGACAATTTTTATGTCTGTATATTGACTGAATATACAATTTAATATACTACATCATCATCATAAAGTCATCGTAATACAGTTTAATAGAAATAAGAATAAATCTAGTAGATAATTAACTACAACGTTATCATCTGTTATTTCAAATTGTAATATTAGTAGAAAACAAACTTTTGTTTATGAAGTATTGATATTTTTAATAAATACTTCTTGCGGAGTCAACCCCCAACATAATATTATCGTTACACATATTAGTAAGAATGAAACAAAGCAAGTAGGTAATTAACTATAGCACATGCTGTCTGTCCAACTTTATCATCATCAAGAAAGACAATAGTTTGAAGTGTTGATTTTTTAAATCATATGATAAAAATTAGAATAAATTTTTGGTGTCTTTTTCTGAGGGGGCATTTTTCCGGGAGCTTCTTTTCCGAGGGGATTTTCTTCCGGAGCTATTTTGCCGGGCCTTTTTTTTCCCGGGGGCTTTTTTCTTTTTAAGTAATACGTTTGAGAAGTTTTTGTAATTGTTGCGATGTTACGATCAATTTCCTCATGGCCTTTATCGGAATATTAAAATAAAATCTAGGTGCATAATAAGTTAAAAGAACAAAGTGCATTTATTGCAGCCAAAAATGTTTATTTATTTTAGAAGTCTTATACAGAGAAATGTAAACAGTAAAATTGACTACAATAACCATAGGTAAAGATGAAAGTTTTCTAAATCAATCTGCTGAGGTATATGAATACTTTGTTCATGATGTAGAGGTAATTTAGAATGACATGAGCCTTGGTCTTCGTTTGCACAGTGACAAAACTCCCCCGTTCATTGATTTTTACATTCGTTACGTTTTACAGTTTTTCAGCAGCTCCATCCCTGGTTGTATAGCGAGGCACCTGCTTGGAACCCATAGAACAACTTCCGAACCAATGTTTTCACCAATAAGCAGTATGAAATGTGATAAGGGTAACCTTTCACGCATCGGAGGGTTCGTGTCATTATAAACTACCCGTAATGATATGCTTAATTTTTTTAAGTCTTTTAGTTATATTATATTATATCCATGCTGTATTCCAGGTCATACTTTATGAATACAGGTACAACACTATTTATTAAGCTATACTTCTTTTGGCGCGCTAAGAGTAAACATTTAACATGCAACGGAAGTTGCGCGCGCACAGCTAAGGAAGATCCGACAGAACGAAGTTAGCAGCATGGCAGGTACATGATAGAGATAGAGATTGGATCTTTATACATACAGCACAGTTGTTATTGTAGGTAGCGTTACGCTCCGTGCTTAAGTATGAAAAAATACGTAATACGTAAGTATGAATGAATGATTTATGTTTGTTAACAATATTGTATTGTACAACTAAACTACATGAAGTCTTCTATAAAGAAATTGTTTCGATAAATTCCCCAAAAACCTGAAAAAAAGAAAGAATTGAATGAAATAACGAACCCATATTACACACAACTTAAGCCGGTGAACCAAGACTATAAATTCAAAGGAAAACAATTCCTGTAGTACTAGATTTTGTTACATAATATTAGGTTTTGGTGGGAATATGTATCAGAGATTGATTTTGTTACTGGGGTAATTTGTAGCGGTTATTTTGTCCTCAGGTATTTTATGTATGATATGTTAGCTCAGAATATGGGTAAATTTAGGTAAATTGAATAATCTATAACTACCGAATCTGTTGTCGGCATAAACCTTATATACCTACTTGGCTGTATAGTATGTACATGTTATATTATATTATATTAGTGATTGAACTTGGTCTTGCGATCTTAGTCTTGGCCTTGCGAAAAAAACTGCCTTTATACTAGCAAGATCAAACCAAAGCCGAACGAACAAGACCAAATATGCAAGACCAAACTAAAAATTATTACTTCCGATGGATTTATGAGTTAAACTGAACAGCCGAAAAATTGTTTTTTCAAAGCATCGCTCATAATCCGAAAGCATCAAGTCGAGTGAATAACGATTCGGCTGGTTGCTATATATAAATTCGTGGGCATCAATAAAAAAATTGTAGTTCATTAATGTATAGGTATTTATCATCATATATATTTCAATATTTTTAATTGTACTGGCGATTTGTGTCTAAATTGTTTTTATTAAGATTCATCATCATCACAAGGTCGTCAGTCCTAAGACTGGTTGGACACGCACCTCCACTCTTTCCTATCCTGAGCAAAACTTCGCATTTCCCTAAAACTAGAACAACCCATATCCTCAACTATTTGTGAACAGTAATCTAGTAATCTAATCTAGGTCTACCTCTACTTCTCCTAACTCCTGTTTCTGTCTCTAATATGTCTCTGACTAGACCATCATGCCTGAGAAGGTGTCTTACCAACCTATTTTGCCTATTTCTTATTGACTTCCATAGAGTTCTCTGTTCCTCCTATTTTTTCTAATATCTATGCACTTCTAACATTCTCTATCTACGGTATCTTCATCATCCGCCTGTAACAGCTCCATGTTTCGCACCGGTACAGCGTCGCACTCCAAATATACACCTTTAACAATCTTTTTTGACTTTTTAAATTAACCGTTCGCGGGCATAGAAATAAATCCTTTTTATTGAAGGCTACCCGATCCTGCGCTATTCTCTGCTTTATATCCCTACTACTCCTTCTGTCCTGACTTATTTGACTTGCTAGATACCTAAAATCAGTCACTTATTCTTCTAATTTTTCGTCTCCTAACGTTATATTCGCTTTGTCTCTACTTTTTCCTCCCTTGCAAACCAGTATTTTTTTCTTTTTTTATTTATTTGTATTAACAGAATATAAAACATATAAATAAAATAAAGGCTGCAGAATAACTGTTGGAAAANATTATTAATTGTGAGCTATTTATAATTTTTTATTTATATATCATTAATAATGTTTATAATTATATAAAATTTTGTGCTTGGACGAATTCTTAAATAAAAAACCATAAGTATCAGATTAAATGAGCAAGGCCAAGATCAAGACCGAATAAACCAGATCAAGACCAGTGGGACAATGTTGGTTTTGGTTTTTCTTTGCTCATCATAAAGATGTTGTACCACCAAGACCATAAATCATGAAGGGGACAGATAGTATAAATTGTAAGTAAAACAAATATAGTTTATATAGTCTTAATCGTTCAATACAAGTCAAAAGAATATTTTATGTAAAACAAAGCCTTCTTGGTTTTGTTGTGAATTTTTCAACAAATTTATTATTAGAATTTTTTAGGTTATCAATGATAATCTTTTCTGATAGACTATTGAAATGACTTTCAATTATGGTACTTTTTGGCAAAGTTTTAATTCTTCTTAGACTGTTAAAGGATTTCTCTACAGCAATAGCCGTGTGAGTGCAGAAATTATAAATTGGATAGTAAAAATAACTTGGCATTTGATTAAATCCTTTGTAGTCCCCTTAGGGAGGGGGAGGGGTGGGCGCTAGGAAGTCCTTACGGGAGAACTTTAAGGGATGATTTATCGAGACTTTTGATCTACACGTTGAGAACCACCAGAGTCCAATGCTCCGAAGAGTTCCATAAAAAACCATTTTCCGTAAGAATCTAGCGAGACCCTTTGCTGATATGGTTCATACACTTATCTATTTATAATTTTTTGTGCTAAACTAATTTCTTTGACAGTTTAGTGCCCCAACCTCCTTAAGACGCATTGTTTTGTTTCCAATATAGAAAATAATGAATAACTTATGGTTCTCAATGTATTTACCCATTGCCACTATGGTGGAACACAAATCCTATCAGTCTTTTAGATTTACACCAGACAATAGTCACATCCCAACTACACTTAATAGAATCACACTGTACTGAGACTTGCCAAAAAGAGAATTTATTATCGTTATCGTTCGTTATTGTTTTATTTATTATCTGTTTAAATAAACCTATTATTGTACATAATTTAATAACCTCATTTAAAACTCATTTCAGGCGGTTGGAGATATGCCCCTCTGTTTACCTGGATGCGGCGTGAGAAAATTCTAAATTAAATAATATTTTATCTGTCACAAACTCGTTCGGTTTTGCTCACGCGGAGTGTATATCCCTTTCCTCAAGGTCACAACTCTAACCATTTGAAACGATTTGTATTGTATTCCAGGAGTAATGTCAGTCTAATTAGTATAAGTAAAATTAGCTTTTGCCACATTACTATGTTTGAAATTTAAAAGAGGGAAAGGACGTATAATGCTTTTTCTCTTTGCTTTTATCTTGTCTAAAAAATAATTCTTTAAAATGACTTTCAAGCTAATGCAACATATCTGGTGTTTCTAACCAATTCAACCGTCTGTCGTTAAGCGTATTGGTATCTCAAAACCTTCAACATCCGTTTAATTTAAATATTTGACTTAGGGATAGCCATTTCATGTAAATTACGTAGTGCTATTGACCACTAGAATAATTTTAGTTACAGGGAAAGTCAATTAAGAGAGAGACAAAGGGAGCTGATTGCATCATCTTTTGTAGAAGTATTTTACTAAGGGTTTTGAGTTTTTTGACATAGAGTTTATGTAATAACTTTTCATTAAATCTATTTTCATGTAAAAGTGTTTGGGATATGTTTTTTTATATGCACATACTATTTGCTCTAGTTGTTTTATTCAGAAATAAATGGTTTATATAAATTGTTTTTATTAAAATCGCAACCGATTTGAGAAAAGCTGCATACCATTTCTTAAACTACTTCGTTATTTCTATCATTTTTTGATAGAAATTCGTAGTCATTCGCAGTCAGTAAGAGCATCAACTGATTTAGATCTAGTTGTTGAGCAAGATTTGACAAATCCCTGTAATCGTTCCAATCAGATTTCTTTCCTCTAACTCCTACAAATTTCCCTCGGAACTGGTACGGATACTTCTTTCCTCGCATACCGAAAAAGCTGGAATGTCCAGGTAACTTCTTTCCCCTCATTCCTAGAAATCCCATTTTGGATGGTCTTTTGGCCATTTCATAGACATCGCTTTGTGCGTTTGAGGAAGTGCCGTAGTCATCTTCAAAGGAATTCAATTGGAAATCTTCCTTTTTGCCGCGCATTCCTAAAAATCCTGAAGGAACTCTCTTATTCAGTTCTTCTCCTAAAAAATACCCCATATTTAAGTTTAGAAAAAAATTGAGTAGTAATAGTAACAGTTTCAAAGGACGCAATACAATTTCAATACAGTATCAACAATACAACGATGATGATCGACAGGTACAATAACGATTCAGTAGAATATATAAACTTAAATATTAACGTACCAATTTCTATATATTCCTTTTTTCCACGCATTCCTAAAAAGCCAGACGGTACTCTTTTGTATGAGGTGATGACGTTTTGGAACCTGGATGGATTAGACATGTCAGCAGTTTTCATGTAGTACAAATTTCGTGCGTCTTCTTCTTTATCCTTTAGTAAGCTTAATGATGACCCATCTGAGAAACTGGCGAGACTTGGCTTCAATTCGTCTCCGTCACACTTTAAAGTTAAAATTGCCACCATCGTCGCTATATGTTGCAAAACCCTCATGATTTTCTGAAATAAAAGACGTAATTTCAATAAAAGGTCTAACTGATAATGATCCACATTTTCAGCACCAGTTGGAACAATTTATGGGCTTAGACAGGAGTTTCGTATTAGTTACTTTTTATCAACTGATCGTTCGAAATATTTAAAAGCTTGAAAGAAACGTCCGAAAAACATATTTGAATGCACAGGCCAATGTCATTTCGGCCCTGGTAAATCACGTAGAGACATACGACAACGCAAAGCCGCTGTTAATAATTATAGGGTTGTCCGGAAAGTCATTTCGTTTTTTCCCGACAGAGGATTTAATTGTATTCTTTTGCACCCAACTTCACATTTAATCCGTATAATTTTTCTATGCTTTGAGAGCTCATATAGCAAGGCTTGTGTGTGAAAAATTCCAATTAATTCTACGCAGTAGTTTTTGGTTGGTGCCTTTTTAAATATGGAGAGCGATAAGCAGCATTTTCGACATATCTTACAGTTTTACTACAGAAAGGGTAAAAATGCTGTTCAAGCCAGAAAGAAATTGACTGATGTGTATGGAGAAGGTGTGTTGACAGTACGCCAGTGCCAGAACTGGTTCGCTAAATTTCGATCCGGCAATTTTGATGTCGAAGATGCACCACGTTCGGGAAGGCCGGTTGAAGCTGATAAAGACGCGATAAAGGCATTAGTTGATGTGAACCGGCGAATAACAACACGTGAGATCGGATTGAGGTTAAATTTATCAAATTCAACAGTTTATGACCACTTGAAAGGCCTGGGATTATCCTCGAAGCTCGATGTATGGGTTCCCCATGTTCTCACAGAGAGAAATCTGTGTCGCCGCATTGACGTCTGCGATTCGCTTCTCAAACGTCACGAAAATGATCCGTTTTTGAAGCGCATCATCACTGGGGACGAAAAATGGGTTGTATACAACAACGTCAAACGCAAGAGGTCATGGAGCAAAAAAGATGAACCGGCTCAAACCATTTCCAAAGCCGATATTCACCAAAAAAAGGTGATGCTGTCTGTTTGGTGGGATTTGAAAGGAATAGTTTTTTTTGAGATTTTACGGGATAACACAACGATTAATTCGTAAGTCTACTATCATCAGCTGGACAAACTGAATGATGCACTTCAACAGAAAAGGTCAGAACTAATCAACAGGAAGGTGTAGTGTTTCACCAAGACAACGGGAGATCTCACACAAGTTTGGTCACTCGCCAAAAGCTTTTACAGCTTGAATGGGATACAATGCTACACCCACCATATTCTCCAGACCTGGCACCATCGGATTATTATTATTTCCGGTCACTCCAAAATTTTTTAGACGGTAAAACCTTTACTTCAAATGAGGAAGATGGAAACCGGGAAACAAACTTACTCGAGCTACCGAATTAAACTGATTTCTGTTTCTTTGTTTTATAGAATACGACTCCTGAAGTAGTACACTACTTTCTTTTGGGTGTTTCATTCCCATCAACCACTAATGCTGGTGGGCGGCATTCCCTTCGGATAACACTGGAAGGTAGGACGGAAGGCCCTCGACAGCCTCGTTTCAGGAATCGTGGGAATAGGTGGGTAGTGGTTGGGGTGAGAAAGACGAGACGGACTAATAAAAGACAGAAGAGAACGAAAGACCACAGAAAAAATTTGGACCAAGGCAGACGGACCCGGAATCGAAATCGGCGTCCTCCCGAATAAGCAGTGGTCTATACCTCTAGACCAGTGTTTCCCAACCTTTTTTTTCTCGCGAACCAAAAAAAGGTCCAAAAAAATTTGACGAACCCCCTATGTGGTCATTAATGACAGGTAAAAAAAGCAATAAAATTTGATAGAATATATATTTTTCATATTGCAGAATAATTGATTATATTAATCGTGAAACATTTAAATAAAACATTAATAAGACTAAAATGATGTAAATGTAGTAAACTGCCTTAATTTGATATTTATTTCCAATTGTATTGTAAAAAAAATATTACATAGAAGGGAAAACTGCTGAAATGATTTTAAATATAAAGCAGAACATGATACTAATCACATTGATAAAATGTTTTAAATATAAATAAATATTTGTAATAAAAAGAGAATAATATCTATTTGATTACTTGAATAAGAGGAATAAATTTTAATGTATAAAATTGTTGATATAATTTGATATTGATGAAGTAATTTTGAAAAACAAATAAGTAAAAAATAAATGAAAATATTGAAATTCATTATAGATTTCTTAACAGGCATTTTATTGGCGTTTGAAAAAATCCGCCATTACAATATTATTTTTGCGAACCTCTCTGCAAACACTGCGAATCCCCAGGGGTTCGCGAACCACCGATTGGGAATCACTGCTCTAGACCATGCCGCTCGGTATATAATACACGCGAAATATCATTGAACGTTGACCCCCGCCCCCCCGATGTGATAGTGTGGGGAATTTTAAAGGAACAGTTGTTGCATCTTTATCATTTTTAGAGAGTGTAAATCTTGCAGCAAACTGATTTTCAGTCGCGAGTGTATTACTGCCAGTGGCTTCGACTGAAAAGTGCTGTACATGTCAATTTTTCCATAAAGTGATATTTACGGACGAATTTTGCTTCACGAAAGATGGAATTTTGAATTTTCATAGCAGGTAGTCACTACTGGTGTCATATAAACCCGCATATCGTGAATCCTTCCCTAATTCCGCTAGACTTCTTTTCATAGAGTTGTATGAAATAATGCGTGCATTAAACGATATTGCATAGTGGTAGTAACGTGTAGGACTGTGCGATGAAATTCGCCAAATGGCTGACGTTTCTGCGAGAGTGAAAAATAATTCTGGGAGACGTCGATGCCTATCTTCTAGCACTGAAGGAGGTTCATATGAAAGTCGATGAGAAATGGGCGAGATAGGTTGCTAGGACACCTTTTCAGGCATGAAACGCTAGTTAGAAACATATTAGAAGAACAAACAGGAGTTAAAAGGAGCACAAGTAGATCTAGATTAGATTCATCATCTTCTGGTCGTCAGTTCTAAGACTATTTGGAAACGCACTTCCACTCTTTCTCATTTTGAGCTCATCTTCGCATCTCCCTCAAACTAGAACAACTCACATCCTTAACTATTCGCGAACAGTAATCTAATCTAGATCTACCTCTACCCGTCCTAACTCCCGCTTCTGCCTCTAATAGGTATGTCTCTGGTTAGACCTTCATGCCTGAGAAGCTGTCCTACTAACCTATCTCGCCTATTTCTTATTGATTTCCATGTTCCTCTGTTCTCTTATTCTTTCTAATACCTCTTCATTTCTAACCTTCTCTATCCACGGTATCTTCATTATTCGCCTATAACACCACGTTCTGAACGCCTCTAATGCTTTCTTTTCCGCCGCACCCATTGTCTATGTTTCAATTAGATTACTGTTTACAAAAAGTAAGAAATGTGGAATACTCTAGTTTTAGGAAAATACAAAGATTAGCTCAGGATAGGAAAGAGTAGAAATGCATGTCCAATCAGTCAAAGGACTGGCAACCTTATAAAGATGATGATACAATACTAGCAGCCAAGAAAATAATAACATTCCATTTAAGAACTTCTCCCAAAATCATACTTGTTTAATGCAGAAATCATCATGTTCCAGTTTAAATTTCTTTCGGGAAAGTCATTCGAGGATATAAGATGTGGTACCAACTTGTTTATTACTACTGTAATTTTGAACTTTCTTAAGAGCTTTTACTGCTTCCACTGTTAGTGATAGTAGTTACATGTCGCCGGTTTGCAGTTTATTGCGAAAAAGAAGTTTTAGACATTGTGTAAGTCCACCCATGCAATTAGATATAAATAGCTTGGGAAAGCTTTTAGTAGTGACCATAATTATGTGAAGTGGATACTGTGTTTTAATTAAAAGAGAAGACCATGACCCCAATTTCAAGAAATTTATCTTTTCTCAATTTCAAATTAATTATTTTAAAGCTGCAATAGAAATAAAGACTTCTAGATTTATCATGTCGATCTCACACATTTCAAAATTTTCGTAAGAGGGGATTCTATTCAACCCCTCCCCCCCACACACACAAACGCATTCTTAAAACACAATCACATAAACCTCTGAACAACAATTGGCTGAAAAGGACCTTAATTGATCCTATAACGGCCTGAGGTAGAGGGGTTTTAGTCGGTAGGTCTGATGACATCTTCCTCGGGAATCCGACACTACCCAGTCGTACGAATGGCTGGGTGTCTTTTGAAGATTTTCACTCTTCCACGAAAACAAAAAAAATCAATAATAGGGTCTAACTCTTCTGAAGTGTTTCGAAGTCATGGTAAGATAATACCAAACATTACGTAAACCAGAAAATGAGATTCGTCTTCAGTTTACCATGAACTAAACAGGATGAGATGCGTCTTGCAAGGGTGATTAAATGTTAAGTATTTAGTTTACAAATACCTACCAATGCACTGAACGCCACGCGAAACGAAAAGACGTAATGGGAATTTCGTTGGGAGATTACTTCGGATGTTCTCCTGGGAATGCCGCAGGTGCCAAGAGAATTTCAAACCGCTTATTCGTGTCTACAGTTTAGAGCCCTAACAGAAGTTTATCGTGTTTATTGGCGTAAAGACCACAAGATTCATTTACAAAGAATGTTTTCTTGTTATCGAGCTTAAAGAGTTACAACACGAAACGAACTGTCTCAGATACGTTCCAATTGCAATTGAAATCCCTTTCCTCCCATTATTATTATTAAAGTTTGAATTTATCTAACAAGCAATAATCCACCAGAATGTACAAAATTGGAAATACCTGCAATGATAAAATAAAAACATTGTAAACAAAAAGTAAGAATTTAATTTGGTTAGTCTGTAACTATTTACTAGGCATCTTTTACTGGACAAAAAAACTTTTGTGTGTTTCATTCCCACCAGCCAGTAATGCTGGTGGGCGGGCAGTCCCTCCGGACTACGGCGGTAGGTAGAGCGGAAGGCCCTCTTCAGTCTGCTTTCAGGAATCGTGGGAATGGGTGGGTGGTGGT